AAAAAAAAAACACTGCGTATAGATTTATATAAGTTTATCAGGAATATACTAAAAAGACTGAAATCTATAGAAAAACAGAAGTATTTTAAAAAATGCACTAGTCTTGTATCTAAAAAGCCCACTATTCTATTACTTAATCAACTTTTTAATGTTTTTTCTTAAAAACTTCTATTCAGATTCAATTGTCTAGTCTAAAACAGCTAATAAACTAGCTCTTAAAAATAATTTTGATTTGTTAATTCATACAATAGCTGTTCAAAAATCTAAATTTATTATATAGTCAGACCCCTCTAAATGCAACTTCTCTAAATACACAACCTTTTTAAATACACGATAAATGCTTAGAACCTATAGGTAAATATACGTTCTTTATTCTGCAATTGCATATAATTTTTTTTGGCCTAACTATAATAAGTTCCTTCTATAAATGCATGCACGTGACGATTAACCAATAAAATATTCGGATTTTTAAATTTATTAAATGCATGTAATCATACAGGATAAATAAAAATCTTAGAATAATGCAATACATACACATACATATGTACGTGGTTACTATATCAAATAATTACATTGTATAGAATATATGAAAGCCGGCAAGAAAAAACCTTGAATCAGAAATATGATTTTCTCTTGCGGCACTTATATGTATATTTTTTATGATTTACAAAAGAAATAAATTATAGCTTTAGTGTTAAATAGCATAAATTCTCTATTACGATATAGTATAGCATAATTCTGAATAAGTACTGTAATTGAAAACTTTTCAAGCATAGTAAATGCAGAATATAGCTTATCTAAAATACAGTTATTTGATTTTGATTACCTCAAACAGCCTTTTAAAATATTATATCGGCCTTGCTCTCAATTATACAATAATTAAAAGCATATTATTGTTAGCTTATCTTATTGATAAAGCTGATAAAACTTGAAAAAAATGCTTTAATTGGTATTATGGTCTGAATTCGTTATAATGTATAATAATGCTACGTAGTTCTTATTACAATCATGATTTTCCAATAAAGTTAGCACTCAATATAATCATTGTTTTCCAATAAAGTTAGTTCTCAATATAATTGCATATTTTGGATATTACATAACTAAAAAAAAAATTAATATAAACTTACCCACTTTAGTAATGCAGCATGTAAATTAATTAGATTTATCATTAGTATATTATGATTTATTGCAATGATAAATAAAAAAAAATATAAAAAAATTAATTCACGTATTAAGAACTTATTCACAATAGTGTCTCATAGTATGTGGTAATAAAATCTGTACAAAATCTACTTCTAACCTGCAAGAACAAAAATTATAGTTAGTATCTATTAAAAAAAAGTTAATAGGAACCCAAATAGAGTTTAATGGATAAGTATTCATTGAACTCTACTAATATTATTGAGGTTTCAATTGAATCTATTAATTCTGCTTAATATTAGGATTTTTTTTTTTTTCTTTTTGTAATTTTGCATTTAAGTATCTATTGTGAATTTATGCCCACACTGTTCTTTTTTTTTATATATGAAATAGTACAAAAGATAAGCAGTTTATATACTAAGATACTTCCAAATATGATTGTATAGTAGGCATTGTTATTGCGATTGATTAGATATTTTGATAATAAGATAAAACTCTATAAAAAAAAATATATTTAAATATTTCTAAAGTTTAATAAAGTAAATAATCGAGTCTTGTTTGTATAATATTATTAAATAAAAGCTTATATACATTGTCTATAAATTATTAGTAACATGTCTTCTAGTAAACGAAAAGAAAAAACTACATTTACTAATCAACAAAGAAAAGATATTATAACGTTTAAAGAAAAAAAATCCAAATATTAGTCATGTTGACCTTAATTGAGTAAAAAAAAATATGGGTCTTGACATTCATCCTTCTACTATTGGGCACCTAATAAAAAATAAAGATAATGTTGGAGATAATTTATCTGCAAAAAGACAAAAAATAGTGCAATATCCAAACCTTAAAAATATATTACTTGAGTGGGTTCTTCAAAATCAAGACCAAATCACCATAAGTAATACCATTATAATCGAAAAAGCAAAATCCTTTGCTCAATTGTTAAACATCCCTGATGGTAATCTAAAATTCTTACATAGCTGGTTGTTTAAATTTAAAAAAAAGATATAGCCTAAATCAAATAATAAAATATGGCAAAGATGTATCCATAGACTAGAGATAGCAAATATTTTAAAACAACTTGTTTTAAAACATGTTTTAAATATTTTAAAACATCCAAATTTTTTAATAAAAAACAATAAAAAACAATATTTAGTTATAAACTAATCACAGCATAAAATTTTAATTATGTGATATATAAGAAACTTTATAGCAAAAATAGGCATTAGATTAAAAAATTTTTTTAAAATTTTTATAATATTAGTTAAATACTTCTATCTTAATATTATTAATCCATTTAATATCTAAAAATTTTTAAACTATATTATACAAATTTACTAACTATACTAGTGGTATCCAATACTACAATTATTATATCTCAAACAAACTAAAGTCAGATATATTAAGTAAACATATTCAAAAATCTCAAAAATCTCAAAAACCTTATATTAACCAAATTTTAAATTCTTTATATCTGACCTCTTTTTAGTCTATAACTTTACTCTAACCTTAAATTTTATAACAAAAATATATATAATATGAATACCACTAGTATATTTTGGTATTTTTATATTATATATTTAAAAATTTATATATCGTTGTATTTATAAAGTATAAATTTTTTTATTATTTAATAAAAAACACAAAAAATGTTTTAAAATATGTTTTAAAACATGTTTTAAAACATGTTTTAAAACACAAGAAAATAAAAAGCACATTTTTGCTATCCCTACCGTGGATGATAATGTTGTTGTGGCTGCAATTCCTAAATTAAGAGAAATGTTAGAAAAATATGATTTGAAGGATATTTATAATATGGATAACACGGGTTTGTTTTATCAGTAAAGATAAATAATATTTATTGCACAAGTTTTATGTAACAACCTGTGCTTTTTTATTTACTTACTGGAACAGGATTGTATATCAGACCTATAGTTATTGTCACAGATAATCGTAAAATTGGATGATGGTGGAATTTGGATATATTTTAAATATGATTTTTAAAAATTTTTAAGGTTTTTCTTGTTGGCTCTTTTTATAGTTAAGTTAGGAGTTATTAGTAAAAGAATATAGATAGATTTTGATAGAACTTATATTTTAAAATTGAGGCCTCTAAATTTCACTATTATCTGATTTTATGATTATCTGTGACAGTTATTATATAGGCAACAAAAAAAATAATTAAATTTGCAAGGTTAACCTATATTACATGACCGAAGACCATGTAACATGGTTACTCATATAAATTTAGTTATTTTTTACAACTCATACAATAACTAAATCTTTAATATTTAGCTTATTAATTCATTCATTCTTTTTTTTTTTTTAGACTTGAACCAGACACTACACTGGCAACAAAACATCTTAAAGGTAAAAAAAAAGATAAAGAATGATTAACTATAGCACTTTGTGTTAATACTGATGGGACAGATAAAATTAAACTATTTGTAATTAGGAAGTCCCCCAACCTACGCTGTTTCAAACGTGTCAAGCATAATAAACTTGGTGTCACATATGCTAGTAGTACTAAAGCATAGATGAATATTGTATTATTTCAACAATAGCTTAAAAACTTTGATCTGATCGCAAGATAATTCTTCTAATAGATAGTGCAAAATGTCACTTTGTTAGTAATTTAAACTTTAAAACACAACTGTTCACCACCTTCCACCAAATACAACATCTTGTCTTCAACTTCTAGATGCTGGTATCATTATGTCTTTCAAGTGTCATTATAAAAATTATTTTATTAAATGGTTGCTTGATTAATATGAAGCCAGAAATGATGATAAAATGAATGTTCTTGCTACCATTAGGTTTATAGTCAAAATATGGTGAAAAGTGTTATCTGAAATGGTGTTTAATTGCTTTCGACATACTGGTAAAGTTATATTAAAAATTATAATCTTAAAATACATGTAATTTTATATAAGATAAATTTCATGTAATTTCGTTATATTATATACAGATTACTCCCATTAATAACAGCTCATTTGGATTAGACAATTATGTTGATATATTGATAACAACAGAATAATTTTTATATTGTCTAAGCTATTCTTTCTTTATAAAAGATTGATATTAA